CTTGGTTGTTTTTTTGTTTTGTTTTAAACTTATTTTTTGGGGGCCATGTTCAGTGAGTTTTCTTTGGGTGATGTGTCAAGTATGGGGGAAGCATGGTTTCTTTTTGAACATATATTTTTGGGGCCATGTTCAGTGCGTTTTCTTTGGGTGATGTGTCAAGGACCCCTGACCCAGGAAGGACAGCAGATGTATAGCACTTGGTTTCCGCAACGCCTCCACGAAGGGAGGTAGGGCCTGGAGTTGGCGATGCTTTGAGGCCGTTTTAAACCGCATCCCATACTGATGGGCCAAGGAGGAACAGGGTTGTGGGATCACTTGAGTTTTTTCCCCACTTCTCTGATACAAGGGAATCCCCTCTTTTTATTGGGGGGGTTAGTCTTTGGGAGGCCCTTTTTGTTGCATTGCAGAAGTGGTCATTTCCCACAGCCCTGACGCGGAAGGTTGTAACCCCGCTTGGAATCCTTGACACCTACTATTAGGTTGCTACAGTGTTTTTGTTGTTTTTCTGGCTATGGCTTTAGCGCATTGCATGACACCAATGATGACAGCAAGTGTTCTTGTTTGATTGGGGAGGGGAGTTCTTTGTGGTGAATGATTAAGTATGCCTTTTGCTGTTTGTGGTGAGACAGTGGCTCTTTTGTGGCCACCTGGGTCCTCAGACTTTTACACTTGCATCGGCTCAAGTATAGACTACCAAACAGGCAGATCATAATTTTGCTGCTGGTACCAAGCATCCACTGTAATTTGTCTTTCTAGCAAGAGGGCAAGCCTATATACAAAGCACCTGGCGGTGCTTCACGCGGTGCGGTGAATTGTCCTGAAATGCGCAGTCTAAAATCAGCCAGATCTTTGATTGAAAGTTCCAAGAGGAATGATGCAAACATTTAGGAATCAGTTTCCATTCAGCCAGAACGCGCATGACAGGTCCTGAGCCTATCCACTGGGCAATCGAATCAGTGTGCGCTAAGCGGCCATGAGCGCGCGCTGCGACTCTTCCCTGGACCAGCTGGCTGAGAGGCTGGATGTCCTGATATGGGTGTGGCTCAAAATTAAAGAGGAGGGGTTACGCAGGTTTTGGTCCATGTTTCCACTTGCCAGGGTTCCATTTTGGTACCGCTTTTTTTGAGCCACTGCCATATTCCGTGACGTAATATGACGTACCTTACAGCACTACTACACAACATGGATGGAACTGAGAGATCAACTGGTTCATCTATCCCAAGTAGAACATCCTTTGGCCCGGGTGTGATTGGAGTTATGTTCCACCCAGCGCGGCCGCAGCGTATTGGCTCCCGCTGACTGGCCCAGTTGCCCACCCTTTCAGAGGTGCACAATCCTGAATCCATGTCCAACCCCCTCCGGTGGATCCCAAGCTCCGTGGTTTTTTCTCTTTTTCGTCTCGCGCCATGGCACGGCGGACCTGGCGGGCGGCGGTTTTGGGCTTGTGCCTCTGGCAGATGTGCTCGAGCAGCTGCTTCGTGGCGCCGAGCCACCGCCGGGCGGCGCTTTCGGCGATGTTCTCCGCGCTCCTCGCGGCCCCGGCGGTGGCACAGGAGGGCGTGCCACCGAAGACAGGGGGCCGAGCCTCCAAGTGGTATGGCACCTATGAGGCCGAGGGTCATACAAAAACCTCTGGAGCTGTTCTTGCAATAAGTACAACTAGGTCTCCCAGTAGTGCCCTTTTACCCTTTTTTTGTGGAGGCTTCCCCTAGTAAAATAGACTACAGCAAAAAGGGTACCCTTATTCTAACCTCTCTACTGGAGGACCTAGACAACCAAGTAACTCCAAATACCTGGCTGATATTTCGTGCGCATGGAATGTTCGGATGTTTCCTGGCGGTTTTTTGGGGCGGGCAGGATCCCAAGCACCCCGCCTGCGAGCGCTCGGTGGTCATCGCCTTTGACGGCACCAAGGGCAAGATCGACGGCTACGACAAGAGCGGCTCTGGAGAAGAGGGCAAGTTCGACTGCCGCAAGCGGAGAGACGTGCCTCGCCGTGTGTGTGTGTGTGTGCGGTTGTTAGATGGAAGTTTGAGCTGGTGTGTTAGGTGGAAATTTGAGCTGTATTGTTATATTTGCAGTTCGTTTTCGTTTTGCGTAGAAGGGACACCTAAGAGGGTACTTTGCGTGGAAGAAGGGGTATTGCTTGTGTATGCGTTATGGGAAGCTAGTGAGACCCAGGTGCAGTACTATGACTGGACCTTGAAGGTGCAACTCGCCTCCAAGGACGCGGACGAAATGGTGGTGCAGCAGGCGAATGGATCGGACCAAAAGTTGTTTTGTTTTTTTCTCGCTGGCGACCGGTGCGAGGGGTGGGGAATGTGGTTGAATAGTTGAATGAACCGTGTCTCAGTTTTGATGGCTCATGTTTTGATTTCCATCCCCAGGACCAAAACTTGCTGGTGCGATAGGTAGGGAATGAGGTTGGAATGAACCTTCTTCTTGGGGTCTCCTTAAAGAAAACCACCAGTTGGATGGTTTTTCTTGGTCATTCCAGTGCTCCTTGGCTGCCTATCGCATCAGCAAGTTAAAGATTGGGTCCGGTGTTCGTTAGGTGGGTTCAAATGAACGGGTTGCGATCACTTGAACCAAAGGACACCGTGTAGCCTCAAATTTGTTAAAGCCCATTCAGGATCATCCAATTCTTGGCTGGTCGACCTCAATGGACCCCAAGAGAACTGTTAGATGTTTTTGCTGGGCTTAAGCTCAGCCTGCTTTTTCTTTCTCGCTGCAGAATGTCCATTGCGAAAATTACGTCCTCCTCGTCACACGGGCTTTCGTTTCCATATTTTTCCTTGGCGATAGTTGCTCTCGGGTTAGCTTAAAGGGAAGCTTGAAGAAAACACACCCCATTTAGAGACATGACCCGCATGATGTCTTAGTATTTTTGATGATCTGTCTGCCGCAAAGAATGCGGCATCTAGCCATGCACCCTATCAATGATAAGCTTTTTGGGGGAACCCTCGGTTTGTGGGATTCCGTGTCAATGTGTAGGGAGTTGAGTTGCTTGGGGCCTGATTTCCTTGTTTTTTTCCTGCAAACCAAGGGAGTGCCTGCCAAGGCCGGTCGAGATGTGGTGCAGCGTGCTCGCCTCGACTCGCCGCAGCAGATCACTGGTAAGTGGGAGGATACCAGCTACCAATTGGTGCCGCGTTTCTTTTCTTCAGACGATTGTTCAAAATGTGGATTTCTATTGTTTTTGGACCCTCTCACCCCCCCCCCCCCCTTGTAGTTTTCAAAGGGAAAGTGGGGAGGGCGTTGGGGTCTACGATAGAGAGCCTTTCATTTTTGGACAACCCTCCCTTGGGAAGGATACCAGCAGCAAAAAGGTGCCAGTGTTTTCTCCATGGTTCTAGGGCTTCCTTCCATTTCCATTCTTTCCAATCCGAATCTTTTTAATGCCTCAAAATCCCAGGTTGGAAACAGATCCGGTTTTTGAAAAGAACGATGCTTGAAAAGAATGGAGTAGAATCCACCCCTGCGCCAGGACAAGCCTGAGCGGGGCATCCGCTGGCCAGATGGCACCAAGTGGGTCCAGAAAACCTGGCAGCGCTGATTCGGCGAGAGCGCGCGATCGTGCTAGGTGAGTGGATGTGGGTATCCTGTAGGTTGATGGTTATTGGCATGGGAAACAAAACGGTTTAACACCACCGTGTTTGGGGTGACCCTCATTTAACACACACACACACCCATTTGTTTGTTTCTACTTGGGCACTTGGCCACTTAGGAGAGACACGAACCCTTAAATGTCTCCGAGTTCTGCAGTTTGCTGTGTCCAGGATGAGTTTCCAACGGCTTTCAGATACGTACATGTTTCCCAAACAAGGCAGCTTCGCGGATATCCCACCCACAGACAGAAGAGGCTTGATAAACGGGTCGATCAGCAAAGATAGCAAAGCATGTGCAACATCCAAATCCTCCATTCACAAAATTGGTACGTGGTTCGACTACCTTGTCTATGGGGATACTGAAGCTTATGTTCAGTTCATCGTCATTATTTTGGTGGAACCAAAGCTCGGTTTGGCCTTCTGCCTTGGCCCCTTCTCTGCATTGGCACCATCCATTGGGCCAACTTGAGGCAGAAGCCAAATTGAGCGTTGCGCCAAGAACTGTTGAAGCATGCACCAGATCTTGAAGCAGCCATCAATGAAAAGAACAAATGCATCCACCAAGAGGCCAGGCACCTAGCCGGCGTTTTATGCACGGCAAGACTTTGGGGCTCGAGCCCCGTGCGGATCAAACAAAGAGTGCGCTGTCCGCAGAAGAAAAGGGCTCGCAGTACAGGTTTGTTTCCGATGCCTTGGGGTTGGTGAAGGAGCTGCAGCGTGTGGAGTTCTTGCTGAAGCAATGCTTGCCATGTGTTTGGGTGCAACACAAGTGCCTGAGTGCGACTTGCTGCGACGGGGCTATTCAAGTCTGTTGTGTTCATGGAGCCAGGGCAGCAGGCAGCACATACATCATTTTCTCAGGAGTATGTATATCATTGGAGTGTGGCAAAAACATGAACAGGCCATGCAGCATCTCAATTGATTGTGGAGTTCATTGTCAGATACATGTGTGTTTATTTGAGGAACACCGCGCATGTTACCCGGATGTGAAGGTGTTTGGCCGAAGCACTGTATATTGCACAGTCATTCCTTAGCCGTAACTCAGGTGTCTTGCAAGCTGCTCAGCAGGGAAGACTAGTACAAGAACAGCCCCACATAGCCTACCCCCTCAAGGTAGGGTGGACCACCGAATCCAGGAGCATGCTTTGGCTACATGACCATTCTGAGGTGGCGTGAATATGGTGAGTACTTGCCATTCTGAATTGAGCGAGTGAGTCGCTCGTCAGTTGTGATGCAACAATTTTCTTGTGGGTCCAATGAGGTTGGGCGCTTTTGCCCGCCACTTCCGCGAAAATCAAGCGCCCACCTGAGGGCGTGTTGGTTAAATTGCGGGGGTTTTGCCCATTCAAATGGGTTTGGGTCAAAATTAAACTGCCAGGATATGGACCTCAGGTTCAATCGTCCTTGGTTCCATTTGCCAGCGCAAGCCATTTTGGGGATTCCACCTTGACACCCAAATGGTCTCCTTGTCCCTCTGCTTTGCTTTTCAAAGCAGACTCCCCCATGTCGAGCCGCCAGGTCTTAGCCCGGCTCCTCGCATGTCTCGCGACGTGCTCGCGGTGCCTCGAATGGCCGGGTGAAAAGCGCGTGCCGCGAAGTCCAGGCCAAGTTGACATTTAGACAGTTGGCCCTTCCATATCTTCCATCCATCAACTGCTTTCGGATTTTTTTCCACTAAACCTCGTCTCGATGCGACCAAAAAGCCAATCGGGCAGCGATTCCGACGCCCCGACGCAGGAGGGCCAAGAAGGTGAGGAACCTGTCCACCCTGGCCCTGGTGTCTATGGACCCCTTGCAAGGCTCGGGCACGGATCTGTGCTCTTGTTGCATTGCAGCTTCAAAAGGCACCCCAGGGTTGCCTTTTGCGCACGGCCAAAATTTGTAGCTCCCTCTGGGATGCTGATGCCAGAGACTCTTGATGCATGCGCTCATTGCCATAGCGGCTTGTGCACAAAGTTGGAACTACTCAAAGATCACGGGAATTGTCCACCAAACTCAGCTCCTGAGTGGTAAATTTTGGGAATATATATTTTTGTGGCAAATGACAAATAACAGACTTTTTTGGGCCATCGACTCGGGAAGTAAGCAAAGTCGTACAATACGCACACGGAGGCCAGTTGTCAGTGGAGTGGCAGCCTCGGGTCTTTGATGCCTCCATGCCATGTGTCTTTGTTCGAGCCTTTTCACCTTGATTGAAGGGGAAGCCAACAGGAAAACCAACATGACCATGGGGCATAACTAACCTATGGCTCCATTTTTGGCGAACATCCATTTGACCTATTTTGATGTTCACCAGGAGTACAGGGTGTTGACCCACAGCCACATTTTGGCTTGCTTCCCGTACTTTGACACACACACGCACACACATACATGCAGACAACATCGTAGCCCATGCACTTTGGTCGAAATGTATTGACGGGAACCTTATAATATGGTTGGTGCCCTTTGGGAATTTCCTTTGTTCCCCGTCCCAAAAAAAAAGATACCCTCCAACATATCACCCATTTGTGCATGGCAGGCAGGGACGTTTTTGCCTTCGAGCGTGAAGAAGATACATGCAAGACAAGCGTTATCTTCTGATGATGGCCTTAGAATCGATCCTTTTCCAAGAGAGCTGGTTTGGCACGTGCCGGGATGCTTACAAACGTACTGGAACAACTATACTTTAGAAAGCATTTCTGGATCTAAGGCGCCATCCCCGGAGTTTGAGTTGGCCAAAACCGGGGTGCTCGAAACGCCCCAGGCCCCCGCCCAAGCCGCTCTCTCGTTCCGAGGTTCCGAGAGCGTCAGGAGGTGTCCGAGACGGAGGCGGCGCGCTTCGCGGTGGAGATGGGCATGGCGCCCGGGGCCTCGTTTTGGCCTCGCTCGGCCGTTTTCAACGCGGCTCCCCGCTTGAAGGAAGCGGAGCCCCGAGCGGAAGCTTCCTTTGCCGGTTTTCTGGAGATGAGATGTTTATTTCAGTTGTTGCAGGAGAAGCATAAGCACGAGCAAGAGGGGATAAGGTGAATTCTTGTTGCTGATTCTCTGAGAATCTCCGAGAACCACCAGGAGAAGCATAAGCACACAGACACGAGCACACAAGCCCGGGTTTACAAGCCTCGTAAGCTGAGCCGAGCCACAGGCCAAAGATCCTGAATCGCGCGCTGAACCAGGGTGGCCTTCAAATGGTCTGGGGCCGAGATCGAGACGATTCAGGTTTGAGTGGTTTGGGTGGTTTGGGTGGTTTGGGTCACAGGTTGGCTGCCCCAAAAAGACGAAAAGAGCAGTGCCCACCCCCATAAGTCGCTGCCATGATGTTGTCCTTATTCGGTGTCGTAGTGATTGCAAGATTCGGGCGTGTAAACCTTTCGAGACGGGTTAGCAAAGCAAACCTCAATGTTTGATTTGAGCGAATGTCCATGCTGAGCATGGTTGAGTGGGTTTGGCAGGTTCTACAGGGGACAGAAACGCTTCGGAGTCAGCTTCCCCTTTACCCGGGTTGCCAAGCTGGAGCTGGCAACTTGCTCAGGAGACCAAGCGCCCGCGCATGTCCACAGGGGAGACGGCGCTGCATGTGACTCGATGGGCCAAGCATTCCATTGAGCTGAGCGCCGGAAAAGGGAAGCGCACCGGTGAGTTGGGAGAACTGGGCGAGAATGAGGTGGGGGGTGTTCCTCTGAAAATCGATGCTTCCTCGAAAGCACGCAACATGGTAGATGAGCGATTTATGATTTCCCTTTTCGCGGCTCCATGTTCTATGTTTGTTTTCTTCTTCTTCTTTTTCCCCGCGCGTCCAACAAGTTTGAGAGGATGGTTCAAAGCTGGGACCCACCCTCAGGGTAACATGAATCGACCGTTTTGCCCAGGTTTCGAGTTGTCACGCGCGGGATGAATCCGACTGCTTCGGACGTATTTGGAGCTGCTGAAGCCCAATGTTTTGTTCACTGGAGGGCTTATCGGCTACACGAGTAGAGCCCAACAAACGCATGCATGGACGCAGGCTTGGAGTGTTTATGACGCTCTAGCTGCTGTGAGCCAGAGCTTTGTTGCAGTGCAGTAATTCTATAGTGCGTTGTTTTCTTGCGTGTGGCTATTGACGCGGGCCTGGCCTAGTTTGGCCGGCAGGAACAATGTAAACCACCAGTTGGATGGTTTATAGGGTTCAACCCCCCATTCTCATTCCCTGCCTATCGTAGCAAGACAAGGCCGCACCTGTCGCCAGTCCTCGTTGACCTTTGTCAGGTCCTTGGCGTGCTTCATGACGTTGAGGCTGGGAGGAATGGAGAATGGCGGATTGACGATAACTCAAATTCAGGGGTAGCGAAAGCCTGAAGATCCCTGAATTCACAGCCATGCTCCCCATGCCACGGATTCGGAATTCGGACTCCAAGCTGCAGATCGCCTCTGTCCTGGGGACGTCGGAGCCCATCACACTGCACCTGGCAGAGGGGCTCAAGCCTTTGGCCTCAGATGGGCAGATGGGCAGGCCCTGTGGGCAGATGGCCCTGTTTCCAGGTGGATTGTACTCTCGGATCCCTGGTCAAATCATGGCATTCTGAAAGCTGCGTTTGCAGGGCTATGTTCGCACCAAGCGATATTATGGTCTATGGTCAATAGGCTCCCGTAACAATGAACTCTCTCAAAGGCATGAACACTTTCCAGTGTGTGTGTGTGTGTGTGTGTGTGTGTGTGTGTGTGTGTGTGTGTGTGTGTGTGTGTGTGTGTGTGTGTGTGTGTGTGTGTGTGTGTGTGTGTGTGTGTGTGTGTGTGTGTGTGTGTGTGTGTGTGTGTGTGTGTGTGTGTGTGTGTGTGTGTGTGTGTGTGTGTGTGTGTGTGTGTGTGTGTGTGTGTGTGTGTGTGTGTGTGTGTGTGTGTGTGTGTGTGTGTGTGTGTGTGTGTGTGTGTGTGTGTGTGTGTGTGTGTGTGTGTGTGTGTGTGTGTGGGGGGCCTTGCTCGATTTCTGTAGCACCCAGCCTCGCAAAAGTGATCCTTATGAGTGCAAGTTCGAACCCATGGACCCATGGCTGGCCCGAGCCAATTTTTGGTGGCCTTGACAAGCAGGCCGCGTGAATGGAGGAGCGCACAGAGTTGAATCAGTTGGGCTCAACTTACGACCTTGGGTTATCCAAGAATTCGGCCAAGCAATGAACGGCATTCTTGAACGGATAAGGTGCCTTACATATTTTACGTGGAGCCCCAGCTAGACTGTGCCCTCTGGGAGCATTTATTCGCTTCAGGTAGCTTTCCCGCCAGCTCGGAAGCGTTGGACGAGTCGGAGACTGTTGGACTGGACTCTGGGCTCAGGACTGGGCGGACTTATTGCGCATGTCCGACGCCTCAGCCGTGTCCGGGAGTGCGCTTGTTTGTGAGACCTTGATTCGGGGGTTGATCAATATTCCGTGAAAGGCCCCCAAATGACTGTGGGCAACTTTTCCCATGGACATATAATTTTTTTGGTGGTTGTCCACAATGGTCATCCCATGTAAAGGACCTTTTGAGCAACCCCCAGGTTTTTGCTTGGCAGGGACCATAGTTTGTAGCGAGACCTCTAAAAAGTCCTATGTGCTTTGCGGCGTGACTAGGCATAGCTGTGCTCACGGAGCTCGGTTGGTCCGTCAGTGGCCCAGGATGGGGTAGGTGGCTCCTCGCCGAGACAGGTACAAGAGGCCAAGCTTTGCTTTTGGCTCTTGGGGAAGCAGGCTCAGTTGCTAGATCAAAATGATGACAAATAATGCTGGAGTGCTAGCTGAGTTGGATGCAGCTTGTATGTTCTGCCATCATCGACTTCGTGCCTGAGGCATTTTCGTATCCCTCAAGGCGCAGTGATGTTTTGCTGGGTCAAAGAGAGGGCATGTATTAGTCACAATCAGAATCTGGGGGACAGTCCCAAGTACAAATCTGTGCGGCCGCCCCCTTGATTCCTTAGTGCTGGGTAGACTCTGTTGATATCAAGTTTGATTCTGACTCGCTTGTGGACTCAATGAAGACATGCATCCAAGGGTCTGTGTTGACCCGCTGACTTGTTGTCCTGTCCCCTGCAGTTTGAGTCAGTACACAGATCCTGGATCATTGACTGTGGAATCGACAATGCTGACTTTCTCCAAAGATCTTTAAACATGACCCCCCTTTAAGCAGCATATTTCCGGAGGAGTTCCATGATATTGATTCCCATTTCGCGAATCGCCCAAATGGGCTGCACTCTTGGGCAAAACTGTTGAAGTTGCAAATGAGTACGAATTTGCACACATCTCCCTACATCCAATTCTGTCACACAAGTACACCTGCCCAGCAGATTCAAACACAACTCCACGAGCTCTAGCGAGCTTCTTGTCCAGAGGTGCGGTGCTAGACAAGGGTCAGGGGAACAGTATCTATTGATAGGGGTACATGTCTTAACAGGGCGTCGCTCTCCCATTGACGCCATTTGTCCCATTGATTTGTTGTTTGCTGCTCGCCGCAGACATGCATGCAGCTGCGCACCAACTGAATGTGAATCAGGCAATGCTACCTTTCACACCATGTGCTGTTTCTTGGTCCAGGCGCGAGCTTGGCTTTTCATCCAGTACCCTCTGCTCGACATGGGAAATTGGACCGGGCTGCTGTGCCCCGGACAAAAAGCCGCAACGCTGGAACATTCATTGGGATTCCTTTTGTGTTCCCTGGCCAGGACCAATTAGTATACTATTGTCGGATTTGGGGGTGACATTGTCAGCTTGGCAGCAACAAATCTTTGACAACCTGCTCATTGCTTGGTTGTTCTTCACTTTGATCTTCAACATGTTTCCCTTTCGATCATGACATATCATGACAGGTTTCCTGCAGTGACGAACTTTCTGCAAGGGGTTCCTTTGACTAACCACGTATGGCACTATGGCACAGGGACTACTGTAGGGTTTGTCTCAAATGTGGGAGCCCCAAAATGGTCAATCTCCTTTTGGTTTCTCTTTTCAGACAGCCAATTTTGGGGCTTCCCCTAAAAAGTCTCCTTTTGGTTTCCCAACTTGGTTGGTTTCCTTTTGGTTTCCCTTGGCAATCCGCCACTTTCGGGGCTTCCCCTAAAACGTCTCCTTTTGGTTTCCCAACTTGGTTGGTCTCCTTTTGGCTTCCCTTGGCAATCCGCCAGTTTCGGGGATTCCCCTAAAAAGTCTCCTTTTGGTTTCCCAACTTGGTTGGTCTCCTTTTGGTTTCCCTTGGCAATCCGCCACTTTTTAGGGTTCCCCGAAAAATATGCGACACCCACTGCAAGCGGTTGCAACGCGTGGCGAAAACGCGCAAACGCGCAGGGCGGTGCACGTGAAGCAGCGCCCTGGCTTGGCAGATGGCATCCTCTCGCTGGTTCTGCCGGCGGAGGCAGACAATTCTGGATGGGACGGGTACCGCAGATGGGAGGCTTCCCCTACTAAAAATAGACTACAGAAAAAAAAGGGTACCCTTATTCTAACCTCTCTACTGGAGGACCCAGGATGGGACGGGTACCAGACGATTCCATGGAAGCTCCCGACGGGTACCCCTTTGGTTGACCGGGTTCCATTTTTCCATTTACAGAGGCCTTCTGGGAGCTTCCATGTTTGTCTGAGGGAGTGTATGCGACTGGAATTGCTCTCCCACCAATTAACATGGAACATGACAGGGGTTCCCTTTAAAGGAATATGGTCTTGCAGGACCCCCTGTCAGATTCCATGTTCATGGGGGGGAGAGTAATATGGGCGTTTCTCAAAATGGTCCTCAAAACTGATTTCTGTCCTTTGGGTGTCCCTTTAAACAGCATCCCGCAAACCAGCCCAAACAAGTGACCAAGGAGCCGCAAGACCAACGCTTTTCTTTCTTGGGCTGGTGCTGTCATTTGGGCAAGGCTGGGTTTGATGGTTTACAAGATTAAAAGGCTTGGTAAGGGTGGGTTTTAGGGTTGAACGATTTCTTTGGTTTGCTATTGGGCTCAATGACAAACCTGAATGGCAAAGCCATTCAGTCTAATCACTGCCCTTTGCTGTTTTATCTCTTTCTACCGGTGCTAAGCGAGCGCATAGCGCACACTAAGAAACCAGCACAATATTTTAATTAATATTATTACTATCATTATTATTAGTATTATTATTATTCTTATTATGTTGTTTTCGATTTATACTGAGCATTTGTGATGTATCATATTGCCTTTTGAAGTGCTGCCTACTCTAATTTGTTGAACAAGAAAGCCATGGCAATTGATGCCAGCAAGTCTGGTTATCTCCGACGGCATCTCCCTGAGCTTGCCTATGCGCGGAACCTTGGTTTCCTTGAGGGTTGACCTGACAGGATGAGCAGAGGTGGATGATGTCCACGCTTGCAAAGCTGCAGCAGAGAGGTGGCAGAAGATCCTTGGAGCAGCAGAAGGGGTCAGGCAGCGTATCATCTTCAGTTGTGCAGTGAGATTACCTTGCTGGTGCGATAGGCATGGAAATAGAAATGGAATGACCCCTAAACCCATTCCTTGTGGTTTCCTTTAAGGAAATCCCAAAACGGTTCATTCCCACATTCCCTTCTGAGCACCAGCAAGTTACTTGCTTCGGAATTGGACTCTACTATGTTTGCCTTGCAATGCCGGCAAATCAACATGTGGCCTTGCCTGACGCCTGAAGTTGCTCGCCGCAAGCAAAATGCAAGATGAAATACAATTCCGCTGGCAAGTGGTCGGCTATTATGGCCAACCAAGGACCCACCATTTGCTTCGTTCTGCCCTGGAATTTGCCGCGGGCTTGGATACAACCTTGTGTCCGAATCTAAGGTGCCTAACTTTGGTTTGGCCCCATGCTGTTGGCCCATGTTGTTCTCCGATCATGCAATTGCGTTGATGAGTGATGGATTCTGAGCCTCGAGTCGCGGTGAGGCAGCCGGGCTTCTCTACGCCCATTGCCACCAAGAGCACCATCGCAGAGCCCTGTGAGCCGGGACGCCTTGGGCTTCACGGGAAAAGGACAGTTCAGTGGATGTCCTTGTGTTTTGTGTTATTTTTGTTTGTCGGTGTCGGTCGGTCGGCCGGTCGGTCGGCCGGTCGGTTGGTTGGTTGGTTGGTTGGTTGGTTGG